TCGGCGGGCTTCCCCCTGTTGGGCGGCCATGTTGGGCAGCGGTCTCTGAGGCGGCCCCTGGCCGACCTTTACAAATTAACGCGCCACAAAAAAGCGCTCGCTCTGGGTATTTTTCATCACTGGTTGCAGTCTGCGTGAGTTGCTCCCGCAGGAGAGCGTAACGATCTGTTTAATTTCTTTATCAACGACCTGGATGAGGGGACGCAGTGCACCATCAGTCAGTTCACAGGTGACGCCACGTTATGGCGGAATGTCCATCTGCCTGAGGGTGGGATGGCCCTACAGAGGGATCTGGACAGGCTTGATCGGTGGGCCGAGGCCAGTGGGGTCCTGCACTTGGGTCACACCAACCCCATGCAGCGCTACAGGTGGCCAAGAAGGCCAACAGCATCCTGGCCCGTATCAGCAGTAGTGTGGCCAGCAGGACCAGGGCAGTGATGGTCCCCCTGTACTCGGCACTGGTGAGGCCCCACCTCGAGTTCTGTGTTGAGTTTTAGGTCCCTCACAAGAAGAAAGACATTGAGGCACTGGAGCGTGTCCAGAGAAGGGCAACGGAGCTGGTGAGGGGTCTGGAGCACACATCCTGTGAGGAGCGGCTGAGGGAACTGGGGTTGTTCAGCCTGGAGAAAAGGAGGCTGAGGGGAGACCTTCTCGCTCTCTACAGAGAGGAGGGTGGATTGAGGGGGGAGTTGGTCTCTTCTCCCAAGTAACAGGTGATAGGATGAGGGGAAATGGCCTCAAGTTGGGCCAGGGGAGGTTTAGAAGGGATATTAAGAAAAATTTATTGTCAAGCACTGGCACAGGCTGCCCAGGGAAGTGGTGGAGTCACCGTCCCTGGGGGTATTTGAAAGACGTGTAGATGTGGTGCTGAGGGACATGATTTAGTGGTGGTTTTGGTAGTGTTAGGTTGATGGTTAGACTCATGATCTTAAAGGTCCCTTCCTAGATGATTCTATGATTCTATAATCTTAGTATGTTTAAAGTGGGCCTTGGGGAAGGCCCCAGGCACAGAGTCTATGGGTATATTCGGGCCATATCCAAAACAAGCGGTTTGCGCCGCCTCACAGGTGCCATAGGCACTGACATGTGACATATAATAATTATACCGTACAGCCAGGTGCGGTGTGAGTCAGGGAAAAATGGGGCTCGCGGAGTGTCGGGTGAGATTAATGGTGTGGTAACTAATGGAAGGCAGAGCTGAACGAAGCCTTTCCTCCTGCTG